AATACATGCCTTTTTTTTTTTCTTCAAATGGTCAAGCTAAAGAGAAATGTGTTGTTCACCCAAATTTGCACCTCTTGCCCCGTGACTTGCTCTCAGCTTCAATAACAAGTAACTTGCACATGGATTATGTTCAGGCAGATTAGGGGTACATTCATCGAATAGACTACAAATGATTCATATCAAGATTTTATGTATTTAATTTAAATATTTTAAGAACTTCAAACACATCACTATCACATTTTAAAATTTGCAAAAAGTAATTAAAAATATTAATTTTTGATATATACTACTATAAAGTACTAAACAGTAATGAGATATTCAGTTTATAGAAATACGCATACGCTTTAATTCCATGCGTATATTTCCATAGACTCAAAATGCTAATCTCTTGCATTATACAATCAAGGAGTAAGCAAATTAATTGAGTTATACTCACGTGAATAAGACAACAATATTGATTCAATTATGTACCTTCTTTTGGATCATAAAGAGTGAGCATATTATATTAAGCTGTATTTGTAGCCAAGAGTAGAATGAGGTTGATTAAATTTATGTATTTTTTATTTGAATAAATCTATGCTAACCAAGTCACTTATTGTTAATTGACAAGTTACTTGTATACGGATAAGATTTTAATTATTGTGTGTAGATTTTAATTTTTCAACTATTTAAGTAAAATTAACAATATACAAAATTTACCACCAAATCTAGACTATTGTGTGTAGATTTTATTTTTTTCAACTATTTAAGTAAAATTAACAAAATAATTTTTTTTTCTTAAATTAATCGTATACCTAACAGATTAAAATGTGAAAAAAAATTATTTTTAGAAAAATTAGGATAAATTTAAAATTACGAATAGTTATGAGATACAAACTTAATAATTAAATATCATGTGATATAAAAAATAATTTTGTTTTAACGGATAAAATTTATAGATAACAATATGTGAGTAAATGAATCGTGTTTTTTTATTGAAAAATATTCAATAACAATTTTTTTTTTTTTAAATTGTGTTAGTTGATTGTAGAGAAATTAGTAAGATATGGAACAAATCGTATTTTCTATTTTTTATTATTTCATTTTTAGTTTTAACCAGACAAATCTTCAATGACAAAAATAGAGATAAAATAAAATACCGTCGTATTCAATGATGTAAACACTCGTTGTTTCTTCATTTCCAATATAAATTCTACTAGGGCCTCCTTGATTTGTGGATGGCACTTTAATCTAATAACCGTTTAACTGTAAATATTCATAATTGAGGGATTTTATCATATGGTCCATGGATCATAAGGAGAATTAAAGGTGATATGCTATGAAATATTCAACAAAATGGATTTTAAATTTTAATGTTCCCATTTTTTCCAATTGATCAGAGTCAATTACTCAATCGTAACATTGCCATGTCCTGTGGCGAATTTATTGGCTTTTTTTTTATGCACGATAATGAACATTTTGCCCAATCTTCAATGGATGCATACCAAAAAAAGTGGGGGAAGAAAAGACTTACTAATTCACGCTCAATTTAAGATTAATAAAGAAAAAACAAATGTACCTAAGATCGCGCCAGTTTTTGTGTTTGTTGAATAAATTACAGTTAGAAAACGACCTTTGCCTTTACTTTATACTTATTGTTTTTCAAGTCAAAGTCCATCTCATCTCATGTCAATTTAAAGCAGAACAGAGATTTTCCTCTAATATGAAAAGAGGTAAAATGTTCATCTAGATTTGAAAAGAAAAAAAGTCTGTTATAATCAAGTTATTTCTGCATAAATTATTGATATTTTTAATCTTATTATTGACACAATGAAAAATCTATTATATAAAAAAGGTTAGATTATTTTTTAAATAGTAAATATTTTCCTACAAAAAAACTATTTACTATTTCGGGAAATTAATTTAACAATTTATGGTATATTTCAAATGATCACTTATGGAAATTACGGCTCATTATTTAAGGAAATAATTAAGCCATCAAAATTATTTTTAAGATACCTTAATTACTCAAATCATGTGAATTTGGTTGATTTATCCAAATATGGGAATTTCGGCTGCAATATCAATTTTGTGATTTGGAAAAAGATTCCAACTAAATTGTGTAATTTATAATTTAATAAGTGTTCTATATTTTTCGTATAATTCTTTTGTGAAATGCATTTTTAATACACCTTAATCACGCAAATTTTATAAATCCGACTGATTTATTCAACCCGCAAATAATTACTACAATTATGGAAATATCAACAACGATAACAATTATGCGATTTGCAAAAAAATTATTCTAAAAATTAGTGTTAATGACAATTTTAATTTAAATATTACATAATAAATGTTATTCATTTTTTGTGTATTTAATTTAATTAATCAAATCGTGGATAATTAAAGAAATAATTACACCATAAAAATTCACATTTTTAAGATACCTTAATTACGCAGATCCTGTAAATTCAGTGGATTTATTCATTTATAATTTTTTATAAAATTATTCCAAAATAATTGTTCTAATGGAAGTTTCTATTTAATTAATTTTTGATAAATGTTTTTTGAGTCTTTTTTTTTTATCTATAAAAAAACGTGGGTCTCGATTTTGTGTTGTACGCTGGGAAATTAATTTCATGGTAAAATTGAATATCATTTTTTGTATTTTATCGATAATGTATGAAATCGAATTATTTGGTATACTATATAATTATCAATTTTTTGTTTTTCATATTGCTAAGCATTTTACTCGATATTAATGAAAGAAAAATCTGAAGAATACTACGATCGATACTTTTTGTAAATGTGCGTGAAACATATCAAATTATTTGGTATATATATTTATGTAAATCGATTAATCTATTTAAATAACACAATCTCATCCACGCAACTTAACAAGCATAACAAAAAGAAAATTGTGACACCCAATCGTACCATAACAATCAATCAACCCATACCAAATCGCATTGTAGTCAAATCGAATAAAAATTTTAAAATAATAGCTATTTTGAAATGAATATAATGTGATTTATTAATCAATTACTAGCACCGTACGAGTCGTATACTAATTTTAAATAGACATGTTTTATGTAATTTTGCACAATTTAAAATACATATAATATATTCAACAAATTAATATTAGCAAATTGTATTACATATTGGTTACATATTTTTAATTTATAAGTATTATTTAATGAGTATTTTTAATTTATAAACATTAATGAATATTTCTTACTCGTGCATCGCAAGTGATTCGTACTGGTTAAAAAAAAAATGAGTTTACATTATTTTGTCTTCACAAGAGTTATTTTAGGTAAATCTAATTGCGAACATTAGTTTTCAATTAATATTCATACTTTTATAAAAAAATGTCATACTTGAACATTAGGAATTACAGCCTTTTTTGTTTTATTATGACTTGATTATTAGCTCATGTTCTTAAGTATATTTATTCTAGAACACATATTAATTATCATTCATCTCCATAGCAAAATTGTTTGTCCCGTTTTATAGACTCTTAAGTCTTAACTCTTGCCTCAACAACTTACAATAAAATTAACAAGTATCACATGATACAAGGGTTATCATTTTTATTGTTGCTAATTAGACTACAAATATTTTTATTTTAGTTAATAGAATTACAAAGAGAAAATAAAATAATAATTTCTCCCACGCCTCTCCCTCATTTGAGGCAGACTACATTATTTCACTCTAAATTGATCATTATTGAGATAAATTAACGATTTAATAAACCCTTTCTCCTTTCAATTCTCATTATCATGCTTTAGTTTAATGATAATTAATTAACTAATTAATTACACAAAGAATCAAATATATATGTAAAATGCTACATGCATGTCTTTTCATAAGTTGAAATTTTGATAAATAAATCTCATTACCATGTGCAGCAACGAATGCCAAATCTTCTGTCTATGTCAAATTTTGCTGGCGGGTCAACATATCTAAATTCCATAATCATAAAAAATTACAAATCATCAAATGATAATCGCTTGCACGTTGTTGGCCAGAGCTGATCAAGAACTCCAATAATTTGTAGTGTGTATCAGTGTGTGCATGCGTAAATCTGGATTAAAAATAAAAAAAAAAAAAATACACAATATCTGAAAACAATAATAAAAAATAAAAATACTTTAAATTTGAGATTAAGAAAATGGCCTATAGGAGAGTACTCAATGGATGATATGTATGCCTATTGGAATTAGGGGGGAAATGTAACAACATATTTATTTGAAATGTAATATATGAGGTTGATTAACTTTTCAAACTTCATTAACATTCATAATTTATAATAATTAGTGCATCTTAACCATACAGTATATGCAAAACCAAACACATATAAAGTCAAAATGCACTAAAGTAACAACTAACAAAATGAATGTTAATAAAGTTCATGTTGTATTTTACTAAGAATAATACTATAAATTGCAAAAACGAAAAGTAACAAATCATGAATGTTAATGAAGTTCTAATTGTATTTTACCAAAAATAATATTATAAATTACAAAAGCAAAAAAAAAAAATATCTGTAATTCACTAACCATACAATTATCTGCAAAATCACACGTATACAATCAAGATGCACGAGAAGTTCCAATTAATTATAAATTTCTTTAAATTCAGTTACATTTACTTAGACAAATACTATAGATTGCAAAAGCTAAAAAAAAAAACAAAACCGTAAGGTTACAATTTTTCTTTGTTTGCTTTAAAATTATGATCAGGCCATATAATTATTTAAGAACTAATCACTAAATGCACGACATTATATTCCTTGTGCTCTTCTTAATTTATCTCATACCTTGAGGGACATGTATGATTAAGATGGAATAGTAATCATTTACCAACATGATTCTTCTTGCGGAGATTAGGGAGATTGTAATTAAATTTTCTACCCACGCAAACAAATTTTTGTCAAACATTAGTATGAAATCAAAGCAGAAGAACAAGCAAACTGTTCAGTTCATGGACTTTTTACAGTGCTGCTTAATTTCCCCCAATTTTTTATTTTTTTTATTTTTTTCACTCAACTATACATACATAAAAGGGCCTCAACAAGCCTTCACATATTAAACCCCCAAACAACACAAACACACAAACAGAGCCAAACTATGAAGTTTCGACACGTTATCCCATTTCTTTTGGTCATGTTATCGAGCCATATGATTTTAGGCTACGCCAAAAGGCACCATAAGTTAAAATTGAGCCCCCCAACAAATCCATACAAAGGTAATTATGATTCAAAAACCTTTAATGTGATGGATTACGGTGCCAAAGGCGATGGCAAAACAGACGACACGAAGGTAAGTTTAATATATTATTATAGTCATAGGCTCGGTTCATTTTTTACGAATTAAAACCGATTTTTATGTTCCGGTTTTAAATTTTACAATCGACAGGCGTTTGAAAATGCCTGGTTAGATGCTTGCAAAGCGGGAAATTCAGAGGTATTAGTTCCTGCTGATTACACATTTTTGTTGGGGCCTCTGGACTTATCAGTGCAGAATTGCAATAACATCATTTTCCAGGTAAAATAAAAATCATATCTAATTTTTTCGAAAAAAAAAAAAGTAGGAAAAATATCGTTTAATTAATAACCCGTTGATTTTCCACGCAGTTGAATGGAAATTTATTAGCCTCCACAAGTTCCAGTGCCTGGAAAGCAAATCCTTTACAATGGCTTAATTTCAGATATGCCACAGATTTACGAATCCAAGGCACGGGTCAAATCGATGGCAAAGGACTCGTTTGGTGGAATAAAAACAACGGCTTTTCAACTGCACCAACTGTAAGTTACAAAATTACAACACTTTATTTTAAGAAAATTAAATTTAAAATATCATTTTGGCCTAAAAATCTCTGTTTTCCTTTTCCTTTTCTTTGTTTAATTTTTTTTGTAAGGCATTGAGAGTTGCTGATGTCAAGGGCTCGACGGTTGTTGGCATAAGCTTCGTAAATAGCGCGAAAGCCCACTTGAAATTCGACAACTGTGATGGGGTTTTAGTCGACACGATCAGCATTCAATCACCGGGGGATAGTCCCAATACGGACGGTATCCATTTGCAAAACTCTGTAAATGTGGAAATTCGAGAGAGCAAAATCAGTAACGGTAATAAAAATGCACGAAATTATGTCGTGTTCTTGTCTGTATGTATATAAAATACGAGCAAAATTTGGTGAATGTGTATGGTTTTTTGTAGGAGACGATTGCATATCGATACAAACGGGATGTGAGAATGTACTTATAGACAGAGTTACATGTGGGCCTAGCCACGGTATCAGCATCGGTGGATTAGGGAAAGACGGGGAAAAAGCCACCGTCTCGGGTGTTATAGTCCGGGACTCGACAATCACCACTTCCATGACCGGAACAAGGATCAAGACTTGGCAGGTAAATTAAAAATTGTTGGGTTAAGTACAATCACACAACACGTGGACACTAACGTAATTACTTTATTATATTCAAGTTGCTTGCTTGTTCCATTATCTTTAGAAGCTTCCATTTTTGTGTTGACATTTTAACAACAATTGCTTAAGACTATGTTTGGTAATCTTAGCTGATAGACTAACTTATAACTTTTAATTTAATTTTGAATTTATAGCTGACAGCTTATGAATTATGGCTAAAAAACTAGCTTATATGATAAAAGTGTTGGTAAATTAGCTGATAAGCTAGTTGAAATAAAAATTTCAACAGACTTATTTGAAAAGCTACTCAAAGAAGCTTATGAGATAGGCTCGAGCTTATTTAAAAAAGCTGGTGCTACCAAACGAAGCTTATTTGAATACATGAAGCTTATAGACTAATCAAATAAGCTATAAACTAACTTAGACGTTTACCAAACACAATCTAATTTTTGAATTTTTCCAGGGCGGGTCAGGTGCGGTAAACAATGTGAGTTTCACAAACATCCGAGTTTCAAAAGTCGACACGCCTATAGTCATCGACCAATACTATAGCGACAAAGGGCATACTCAGAACAAGACTTCGGCTGTGGCTATAACTGATATATCATTCGTCAACTTTCAAGGAACATATAATCAAAAAGCTGTTTCAATTGCTTGCAGTGAAAACGAGCCGTGCAAAGGTGTAACCTTGTCGAACATACGCCTCAACTCAGCATCTTCACAAGCAGAGTCTCCATTTTGCTATCGTGCGTATGTCACTGCAGAGGATCCTGTCTCTCCTTCTGTTAACTGCAATGGTAGCTAGCTAATAATGTTTGGTTCGTAAATTTAATTATGCGACGTGCCAAATATTGTGTAATAACATACATTATTAGTCACGCGTTCGCCTTTTTTTCGTCTAGGTGTTTTTTGGGTATGTTAGGGGAATGTGTGCGGGTTAGTCTGTAAGACGAACGAACTATGTATACGAATTAATATATATAGGTGTATTGAAATGTGATTTTAGTAGTCATTTTTCATTTTCATAGAGAAGCAAAAAGCTTTTGCATATTCCACACATTAGAAAAATGGCTGCAGAAACTCGAGCAACGAGACAGAGAGTAAGCGTTAAACATGTTTAGCGTTTTCATTTGTTATACAGTTGAAATTTTGCTCAAATTAACAATTGAGATTTAAATAGAAGAGAAATACTACATTGTCAACCTAGTGTACAACTATGTTGACAACACGAGTAGAAACATCTAAAAAAAAACAACCCAAGTGGATGTTTTCATTGGTGTTGTCAACCTAATTGTACACTAGGTTGACAATATAATGTAGCATTTTTCTAAATATAAAGTGCTTTTGGCTTCCATTCAAAGTGAAATTTTTCTAAATATACGTACTAAGATTATATATTTATAGTTTGTTCTGTTGGATTTTAACTTTATGCGATTGAAAACATCGCTTTATCACATGAGCATTCATATCGAATAATTGAGAATTTAAACTGCATAAAAGGGGAAGAATACCTGAATTCATTGTTTTGAGAATTCTTACGTTCTTCTGTTTTTTGGACTGATGATGACTTCTAGACGATCTTGTTGGACTGGTATAGTCTCCCAAACATCGAACCTTACAGTAGATTTTGATCCGTAGTGTTTGTATAATGTATGTATCTTTATGTATGTATTCCATATGTCTCTCGAAGTTTGAAGGTAGGTCCTTTTAAAGGGAGAAAGCATCTCTTCATAAATCTGCTCGTACCTTTTCGTCGTTTGGGGCCATGTTTGTATTATTTTGTGTGGGTAGATGGTAACAGAGCTACCCGACCTCGAGTCGTTCTCTAAGGAAGGCTATTCGGAGCGTCGTTTGTTAATTAGTTGTCCGAAACACACAAAGATAAAATAATTCCTAAACATTCTAATCAATAGGTTGGTTGATTTTAACTAAATGAACTACGGTAATATAAAATATTAGACTAGCAAGCAATTTTAATTAAAAACCCTAGCTTCCTAAACCGAATCGCTTAAAATTAATAAAATGGAACACGACACAAGAAACGAACCCTATCCATGCACCTAAATGTCAAAGTTGAATATTCTACGACAAAATAATCGAGCTCCGTATCTAAGTCACGACCTTTCTTGCAGCAATTCAAACTCCAACAATCTCAAGGCACAAAAACGAGTTCACAATAAACAAGGAAGCAAAATGAACTAAAACAAACCGACATGCAATAAATCGAGCAAGCCCTACTTCACGTCTACTAACGAGATAGTAAAATAGGTGCAAAATCGAGATAATAAGTCTTACAACGAAGTGCTCACCTCCCTAATGCGTGCTTGAGCGAAAATGACGAAGAAAAACTGAAACTTGCATAAAAACGAGTTCGCCGAAAAATGTCGCCGAAAAAACACTACATGAGAAAAAGAAAAGGCAGCTACAATCCAAAAAAGGGGAAAAGAACAAACTGAAGCTTAGGTCTACAAAAACAAAGCATTAAGTGCTTAAATAGTCTCAACAACTACACATATTCAGGATATCGCACTCACTCGTGCGGTGGCTAAGGAACCTGCTGGACGCGGATACAAATGGCAAGACACGGGCATGGCATGCCTGACTCGCGACTTCGCGGATGGAGATGCGAGGCGCGGACTGGGCATGGGCGACACTCGCGAGGTCGCGGACACCTACACGGGGTAACGAGTCCACAAGGCAGGTAAGAGGTGTGAGAAGTGCGACACTCGCGAGGTCTCCTGCTTGCCTGCTTGGTCGCGAGTCCGGATGGGGCATATGCTGTGCAATACTCGCGAGGTCGCGGATATCCCCATGTGGTCGCGAGTCCTGGCAGGGCAGGGGTATGTCATCGATCGACAAAGGCACGGGATGCTCGGGTTGATCGGAAACAGCTCGGGAACACTTGGAGTTGACTCGAAAATAGGTCGGTGCATCTCGGAAATGATTCGGGACTTCTCAGAAATGACTCGTAAATGGCTCGGACTTGGTTCGACTCCTCTCTCCTCTAAGATGAACCTGGAAATCACACCAAAACGGAACGGGAATTTACGCCAAAGCATAAAACAAAACAGAAAAGACATAAAACGTAAAGGAAAACATAAAAACACACGAAACAACTAAAATGGACCGGTTAGACGAGAAAGCCAACCTAAAACCGACTCCCCTAAACATGTAAAACACATAAAAATAGACACAAAAACACAATAAACAGACCATAACCAAATAAATAAAAATTATTAATTTTTAGTTTGGTCTCTCAACAAACAGAAAATCCCATAATAGTATCTACACTTTTAAATCCATAACAATTTGATACTCTCTTTATTCAAAATTATGAATTTAGTAGATCATTTTAATTAAATTATATTATGACAACTATACACATTTAATTTAAATACGTTGTCCAATAAATATTTCTAACATGTTCATGTAACTTAATTTGCAGATTTATTTGTTACTCTCAAATTGTAGAATTAATAAATAAATAATATTTTTTTTTTTTATCAAATTATCAATAGGTATAGTTATACTTTATTTTACATATAAGTTTGAGTTATAACTGATTTTGACTTATTAAAAACTATAAGAAAAAGTTAACTGAATAAATTATCATACTTAATGACAATTGACAGGTAATGTTGGAAACCAAAGTTCACAATGCGGACTCCAAAATTCAAAATTAGAATAAAATAAGATAGCAATGGAAAAATATATATTAAAATAATTCTTACTCCATTTTTGCAAAAATTGCTAAAAATGCATGAGAATTTCAACTAGAATATAATCAAACATCAATCTTATATACAATTCTATTGATTCAACCCGATAAATTTGAAATTTTATTCATCTGTTGCGATTTTGTTTTCCCCTATATATAACATCCAAAAATTTTCACATCAAAACATGAACATACAAAACATTCGCTCAAACACGCACACAATAATCTGGCTCTAATGAAAATATTTAGTCAAACATATGTTGTTTTTCTAATTTTCACCTTCTTTTTGTTCATTTCCTCCAAGCATGGACTTTGCTACGCTTCAGAAAAAAATTACCTGAGACCAATTGATACATCATTCGTTAACGAGAACAAAGTTTTTACCACGCAAGAAAAAAATAATAACAGTAACAACAACAACAACAACAACAACAACAACAACAACAACAACAATAATAATAATAATAATAATAATAATAATAATAAAATTGTTTATTTCAATGTACTGAAGTACGGCGCAAAAGGTGATGGAGCCATAAACGATGCCGAGGTACATATGTATAGCACATAGTAACTTTATTTAAAACAAATATAAAAACGTAAAATAAATGTATTAAAACTTGGGATTAAAAGCGCTTGATGTGATTGCTTATTATTATTGTTGTTGTTGTTACTATTTCATTATACTGTAATTTTATTTTATTTTTTTATTTATTTTTTTATTTTTTATTTTTTTTGTGTTTTACAGGCATTTAGGAAAACATGGTATAAGGCATGCAAAGTGAATGGAGGGGTGATTTTAGTGCCCGCGGGATATACATTTCTATTGCAGACAGTGACTTTTGATGGAAGTAATTGCAAACCAAACACTGGATTCCAAGTAAATTAATTTAATGTCCCTTTTTTTTATTTATTGATGAAAATATTTTTTTACTGCATAGAGATAAATAATTTTAGGGTATGTCATGAGATTGAGATTATATTTTTTAAATATGGTAAACATTGAGATTATTTAAACTACTAAGAATTTGATTGTACATGCTATGTGATACATATTGATGATAAGAATAAATATGTTTTTTTTTTAGTTGAATCTCATCAAATAGTAAAATTACACAGACATAACGGTTCGTTAACTATACTTTTAACAAAGTATGATATTTCATGGCATAAATATATTTTTTCGTTGAAAATGTATGTCTATTCTACGAGCCTAATTGATTAGGCAGTATAACACAAGAATTTGCATTCGTCAAGTATATATATATATATATATATATATATATATATAAATCACATAATTAATTTATTTTATTTGAATCAAATGTCATATTAACATTTCAGATTGATGGTACAATAGTAGCTCCAGATATATCAAAGTGGCCGAAATCTGATTTTCAGTGGATTCTATTTATAAATAGTAGAAAAGGTCTAATAGTCAAAGGTAACGGAATAATCGACGGACGAGGTGCGCCCTGGTGGAACACAAGTCTATTCAGGCCACACGTAAGTATTAAATCATTACAATCTCTAGATATTGGTTATGAAATTTATTTATTTTCTCTTTTCATGATAGTAAATTAATCACATATGAAGCAAGGATTATGAAATTTATCCCTAAAACTAGCTAGCCTAATTTTTATACTTCAAAAGTATATAACATTGCGAGTGACATCTTTAGATTTGTTTAGATTACTAAGATATCTAGATTTGGTGGTAGAATTTTATATATGTATCTTGTCTCTGAAATCCAGATAAAGCTTATCATTGAAATCTTCAAATCATTGAAATTAAATCAAAGTTAGTTATGTATATAAATTGGACATATATATTTGATTGTTGATTTTGTACATTAATTTACAGGCCTTGAGGATTGCAAATAGCTCAAACGTGGTTGTAGCAGGAATAACTATCCAAAACCCTCCTCAAATGCACCTTTTTATCGACAACGGCCAATACATTCAAGTCTACAACTTTAAGACATCGGCTCCAGCCGAAAGCCCCAACACAGATGGGATTCACCTCTCGAATTCTCAACATGCCGTCATTCATAACAACACTCTTGCGTGCGGTAATTTTTTTTTCGCACATTAATTAGGTATCGTTTCGAATGCACGTGTAATTTTTTCAACATTTTGCATTTTAAAAACGTTATTTCACAAGTAAATTCATTCGTATTTCCAAAATTGATTGCTTAACGCAAATTTTTATGTGAGGCAACCTGATTATTAAGCAGGTCGATCAATAATTTTTTTTATGAAAAAAAAATACATACTGATAGCATCAAATATTTTTCGCCACATTGGATTTTTTATGGATTCAATGTCTCGCGTTTTAATAATTTCACGAAACAACTCTTAAACCAATTCCAAAAAATATGACGCCTTTAAAGATCAATGGTATACTTTTTTAAGTATATGACGTCTTCTTAATGCTTGTGTGTGAGATGGTATAATTATTAGGTGGGAATAATTTTAATTTTGGTCCGTTTATTTGTCTAAAGTTTATTTTTGGTGCACTAACTTACTTATAAAAAATAGTAAGCTGTGGTGCAATTTATATCTTTTTTGAGATATTACTCATCAAAAACAGTACATTATGTTGCAATTTGTATCATTTTTAAGACATTGATCTCAAAAAATAATGAACTATTTTCGAGATAATGTCCCAATAGTGATACAAATTGTAACGTAATGTACTATTATTGATGAGGGGAAAGTTAGTGTACCAAAAAAGAACTTTATACAAGTAAACGGACGTACTATTATTGATGAGGAGAAAGTTAGTGTACCAAACANAATCTTTAATAAATTTTATTCAGTCAACAATTAATAAAAATGGGACTTCATTTAATAATAATCTTTATGACCAGCACTCAAATGACAGTACAAGTAAAATCTTATTATTATTAATTTTTTGTTCTGTAACAGATTTACAAGATTTTAAATTTTGATCTGAATATACAATATTAAATTATTTTACAGCTAATATTCCTATTTTGTATTATAGTTATACAATATAAAAAAAATTGATTTATATGGAAGTTAAATAATTTATATTTATATTATACATTTACATATAGTCAAATTTTCAAAATGTATTACACACTTTATCTAATTTAAATTTTTAAATATCATATAATATATAAATTTTTGTTTCGCTATGTGCATGCGCACAAGATCAAATACTAGTCATATTGAGTAATAATTAAGAATTACACAGGAGATGACTGTGTCTCAATACAAAAGGGATGTTTTGACATCAAAGTGTACAACGTCAACTGCGGGCCTGGACACGGATACAGCATTGGTGGGCTCGGGCCGAACTTCTCGGAGGCCCAAGTTTCCGACGTTTCTATTTTCGACTCAAAGGTGCAAAACTCGTTGACCGGAGTCAGAATTAAAACATGGCCGGTAATTGTCAAAATTTCGTACTCCCACTTTATTCGTGAGATATATAATGAAATGCAGTGTGAAATAAAAATTTAATTTTGTTATGGATCAAATAGTTAGTTCCATTGCAGAGCCAACTTCATATACATGACAAGTACAAAATACCAATTGAAAAAATTATATTGTGTTTTTTTAACTAAGAATGTGTTCTCGATGCACCATATGCTACCTTATAGCTTATTTTGTCAGCTTAATTGACTTTCTTTATCTAAATAGCTTTGTTTTGGTATAATAGACATTTTAAAAATAATTGAACGTATCTCATAAGATTCATTGGGTAACTCTTCAAATAAGTCAGTTGAAATTTTTATTTCACCTAATTTTTAGCAAATACTTTTATCATATCTGCTAACTTTTCAGCCAGAAGCAATCAACTATAAGCTCGAAATTCACTTATAAGCTATCAGATAGTTTTACTGAACATAGTCTAACTACAATTCTAATTTATTTCTTAAATACCAACAACGACGACAACAAATTTGCAGGGAGGCTCGGGTTCCGTGACCAACATCCGATTCTCCAACATCCAAATGTCGAACGTGCGGACCTCAATCGTGATCGACCAATTCTACTGCGGCGGCCAAAAAACGTGCACCATCATGAGCCGGAGCGCGGTTCAAATATCGAACGTGACGTTCGAGAAGTTGACAGGCAGCTACACGGACAAGCCAGTTTCCCTCCTATGCAGTCCGTACAAGCCGTGTCGGTCCCTAAAAGCCTCGATTATCAACCTTGTGCCGTCTAACCCGGGCCTCGGGCCAGCCCAAGCCGAGTGCTCAAACACCCGAGGACAAGTGCTCACGCCAACCACGCCGCCTTTAAACAACTGTCTCATGGGCCCGCCGGAAGGGTTGTTTGGAAGAAGTTAAAATATATCATTTGTGGTGTCATTTTTGGGAAACTAATTAATAAGAGGAAATTAAAGATTTACCGTTAGATATTCATATATTTAGGTATATTTTTACTTCGTACACTATGTTTTTTTGTGGAATAAAGGTTTAAAATTGCTACAGCCAATTTGATTAAATTGCACGACAAAGTTAGGCCAAAATGATGAGACGTGAGATTTATTTATTGAAAAAATGTTCATTTTATACTATTGTGAGAGGGCACCAACACAAATCGTGCCAGCAGTTACACTGCATCTCCCTAATTTCTTCAATTGATTGATTTGAACGAATATTTGCTGTTAAAAATTTACTGTTTAGGCACAAACACTCATACAAATTTATGCAATATTAGTTAAAAAGTAAATAAAATTTCACAAAAGCTGAAATCTGATTGAATATAGTTTGTCACTTTGTCTTACCATGGAAATTGATTCTTATAAAGAAAAGTTGGATAAGATGAAGATTATAGTGCAAATTAATGAGCTGAGGGCTGAGGCTCGAGGTCTTATCGAGTGGAGCTAAGCTTGGCTCATTATACTAACGAATCTATAAATAAGTTCGAGTCCGACTTAGTATTAAGCTTTAACGAGCCTAATCATACTAAAAGTTCAATAAATTACGTAAAAACTCCTAATTTGTCAAAATTAACGAGTCTTAAATCTTAACTCTAGCTGAACTCACTAGTAGTTATTTTCGTTTATAAGCTTAAAATTGAATAAAGACAAACAAAATTAACTTTAGATAAATAGTTTAAGAGAAAAGAGAAATGTAAGAACCTACATACTCTATTAGATATAAAAACAAACCATCTATTAAGCTAAACGACACAATTTCAACCAAAAATAAGAAATAAATAAAATTAAAGTATTATTAAGCTTTAAACACAGTTGTCAATCACTTGCAAATTCCATTTACGGACATAGCAAGAGCTGTTTATACGCAACGCCTCGTTAAAAGCTTACTAAATTTGGAATGGTTAGTGCTCATGGAAAGTCCAAAAACATCATTAATTGGACTGATAATATAGATGTGGCCCTAATAACCCCACCCCACTGGTCCAGGCCCACTAATCCTATTTCGAAGTCCACAAAATGGGCTTATACTTGTAAACAAGAGCAACTAGTAAATAGGGGCCTTTATATCTGTTCAGAACATATCACAACTAAGAGCAACTTAAAATGTCCATCATCTACTTTTGGAGTTTTGTCCTTTTACAAAAACGGTATGAATGGGGTTGTCCTTGATGTTCTTGGTTCTAGAAAATCTATTGTGGGGATAGAATATTGAAGTTGTTATACGAAATTGAGTTATTTGTGAGCTCGACTCAATAAAATTTGACTTTGACTATTAAATGAGTCGAGCTCGAGCACGTTTGAAACTCGTTTGTAAACGATGCGAGCTCAGCTTGACTCGTTGGCTTGAAAAATAAGAATTTTTATGTAATTTCTTGATATAATTCGGATCATTAAAGTTCTGGCTCGTTTTTTAGCTCATTAATGTAACCAACTTAGCTGAGCTCGACTCGGTAAAAGCTCAAATTCGAATATCAGGGGGTTGAGAGGACCTTTCCCTAGTACGAGAGGACCAACCTTCTTCTGGCTCTATTGAGTTAAGGCGTTCAGCTGAGTTCGGCTCATTATAGTTCTACTAAAATATGAAAAATATTATTTATTGTGTTGTTCGGATAATCGGGTAAAATTATTTAATTGAATTAATAGATTTCATTTTTTAAAATATATATTATTTGTTCTATATAACATTTTTTAAAAAATATATTATTTTTTAACATTTTTATTATATATTTTATAATAAAAAAAACTTTTTACACAATTATATGTTTGTAACAATGATAGATATTTTGTTATATTTATATCATTTTACCTTCAATTATTATATTTTAATCTTATATTCATTTATAACTTAAGAAAAAACATTTTAATTTTTTTAAAAATAATTTTTCTAATTTTCCCACATTTATGGTTGGAATGAAACAAAAGTTTTTGAAAAAAATCCACATCCAATGGAGATAATAGGATGTGGAAGAGAGAGGATATAAATGGAGCTCTTTATCTTTCTTGGCGGCATTACATGTGGCAAACACTTTATAAAGGATAAAAAAATGGTGTTTTGTTTCGATTTTAACGTTTTGTCATTTGTGGGATTTCATTCTCATGTTTAAATTAAGAAAAAAAAAATGATATTAGTAGTTTTAAGTATTTGTTAGTGTGAACAAATTAAACATATCTTAATCTAAAAAAATATATATGTTCTGAAAATGAAGTCACATCTCTTATTTCACTATTTTTAATTACGTACAAACATATATTCTTTTTAATGGAGTTTGCTTGCTCAAGTATTAATTAATCTACTTGCATAACATGATGTCTAGAGGCAGACATAACTTAAATAATATTTGGTACTTATACTATGAAATGTTATATTTTTGTTTATCTTACTTCTTAAATTATAACATTATAACTTGAAATAGCATATACTTACTGAAAAATAATATTTTTATATGAAATTTTGCGTGTTTATTGAAAATTACGACTACCCAACAACTTGTTACATGTATTTCTTCGATCCTATAACAACACCAAGCTGCAATTTTGAGTTATTAATTTGTGAAAAAATTCTCTTTTAATGTGTAAGCATTAATTTAATCTTATCCCAACTAACTACTAGAATCAAAACACGTGTCCTTAATTACATGTAACGACAAGGAAATTAATCATCTACTAATTTCTAAAAATCATTGCCACTACTTTTTTTTTTTCCCCTCAAATTCTTTTTTCCTTTTATCACTTGTCTTCTCATCACATGCCACCAAAGACAAGAATTACCAGACTTCGAACACCTATATTTTGTGCAAATCAAGATTTACCCTAATTTTGGATACTTTTAACTATTTTTTTCCCAAAAGTAGAATCCACCCATGAAATTTCTGTAGCAAGTGTCAAACTCACTACAATTCATATGTTAAAGATTTGATCCAACCTGTGGCTATAATTCAGTTATGGAGATTTTTTTTTTTTTTTTTTTTTTNTTAATCAACTCATAGACATACATATCATACTCACATATGTATATGTTGATGCAACGATCTATTAATTGCAGGAATCATCATTAATCACTCATACACTCCTAGGGTAAAATGTACTCATATTTAAGCTTGTTTGACCTTAATTTTGATTGTGTGACTCGAAATATTGATCACCGTGAAACAATGTCCTAAATTAAATAATATAGCATTGAGTAAAACTTGAATATCAATCAAAAGTCAGCTGCAAAAGTGATAAAATTATTCATGACTACTACTACTAAGCACCTCAATCATACAATATTTAACTAGTAAATTCCTAATATCCTACAATCAAATGCTTCAAACAAACAATATATTAAATTATGCATCTAAAGAGGGATAAAACATCACTCCAAATGGTAGATGGATGGATGATTTTGATGGGGACCATGTTAGGAATCCATCATCCAACACTTGCATTAATCCTTAATTGCTTAAGGTGTGGACAGGAGATTATAATCCAATACAAGTGATTTTGTCCTTTGTTGTCTTTCCTTGAAAGAAGTTTGAGTGGCTAGCAAGTGCTTAAACCTAATTTTTTTTTTTTTTTTTTGTNTTGATTCATGAGTTTGTCCTTTTGCTTATTCTTTTTTTCATTTGTTGTTAGAACATGACTTATGTTTTAGGGAAAAAAAGATGCATAAATTATGTGGAAAAAGTACGATAATTTTAGAAAGAAATTAGAAAAGATGAATTTCAGAACATGAATTATGCATCTTTTAGTAAAATGATGCATAAATTATGCATTATTAGTGGTTCAATATGGAACATGATTTACTGTTTCAAAATCATGTTTTAATTTATATTTTGAATGATTAATGTTACATATTTCAGTATTGAATACATGGAAAACCTATAAATTGAAATGTTCAGTTCTTACAATATGAACTTAATTAAAACTGGAAACAAAGGACTATTTGAAAGCGAAAAGATTAAAGCCGACGTGGGTAAACTCTTTTCTCAAGACAAATAAGTCCCGTATAGTGCTTACGAGACTGTGCGTTTTGTCTTCAAAGATACAACGGCTAGCGGCTCATAAGCTGTAGCACACCAGACTTCAAAGCTCCGGCTAACATGAACAGAGTCGAAAACTGAGCATAGTATGATATGATGCGTGAGACTTTTCTGGAGTGTAGGAATGCAGATGATTTTTTAAGTCTCTGCAGCGCATGTCCTATTTACAGGACTTCCAACACAAGTGAAAGATGACTCTGGTCTTCAACTTGTAACAGCCCAACAAGTAGGGTTGTAAGCTAATCGAATTAAAGAAAATACTTAGGGGGCGATTGTTTATGCTTTGTACAGTAAAAAATCAATCAAAACTCAAATTTAACTCAACTTTAACCCAACCTCACTATCTTTCATATTATCAATATAATTAAATAATACCAACTAATCATTCATACACATCACATCAACTTTAAATCACTATTCATCCACTCATAAAATTTTAACTAACCATCCCTTCTAATCATTTTTTTCCTACTTCACATCAAATCAACTTTAATTATTTTATTAAAATATTATTTAATATATCCACTAACAACTAACCATACCATTTTTTTTCAAAATTAACTATAGTTAAAAAACAAACTAAATAAAAACTAGTTGAATCCATAAACAATCACCCCCAAGATATTCGATTCGAATTTATTAAAATATTTGAAGATTCAAATTCGTATTCGATTTGTAAATGAACTCATTTTTTTCGAATTCGGTTCGTTTAGTAAAAAAAATTAAAATCACAAAAATACTGTTTATGTTTTTCCTATCCAATTTGAAATGTTTTAGGGCAAATTGTTATTTGAGATGTTTTATTTNTTTGTTTACAAGTCTACCAGCAAGTACTAGCCGACTGATGGTCGTTGTAAATGCACAAAACGTTTTCAGGTGTTAA